CCTTCAGTCCCACTCTTCTCTTGCTCTTACAGAGACTTTCTGTCTCTCTGATTCATTTGTCTCTGGTAAAATTATTCACCCACCAGTCAACACATCCTCCAAATAGTCAAGATGCTTTGCTAGACTTTTATTTGGAAAAGATGTAATAATAGGATGCACATTTGGCATGTAGGAGATTTCTTACTATTTCTCACAGCAGAACCACCTGGAAAGGAAAATTACCTCATCTTGCCAGAAATATTATGGGATTCAAAGTAAAGAGAATAGTCAGAATTATATATACGTGAAGCCAGAGAAATTCCTTTTGTAATTTGTGGATGTCAAAAAGGGCTTCATTGAGGAAGTGAGTCTTGCCTTTTGCAAGACACAGTTCCTTCACCTGACAAAAGAGCCATTATATTTCATTTCATAGCACTGGTATCATAGATTTCTAGAGTGTACACATAACATTTATTATAGAATCTGGCCAAGACAGGCTTTTAGTAATTGTTATTTCATTTTATAATTACACCAAAGATGATCATAAGCATAATTGTCTGATTGTGCTTGCAATTATTTTTTTAATTTAGCCTGAATGTTTAAAAAAAAAGCACAATATCACTTATTTCAGTTAGTTCAAATGAATTCTAAAATAGTACTAGTCTTGTCTCTATTTACACTTCAATGGACCGTTTGCCGATTCAGCAGCATATTTAATTCAGAGAAAAAAAATCAGAGTAGCTTTTGCCTGAATGACCTGGTTGTTTGACTGCTCTAAACTTTCAGCTAAGTAAATACAGTTTATCCAAGACTTACATGTACTCACTGCAGAGACATCAAATAACTTTTGACTTCAGCTCAGTACATACAGTTTATCCAAGAGTTACATGTACTCACTGCAGAGACATCAGTTAGATTTTGACATTGTATCAGCTTTGTCTGAATTGATCACATCTTTACAATTTTAAATTGACTGATATTGGGATTAATGCTGAAGATCAGAGAAGCAAAGTGGCCAGCCACTAGAGAGTTCTTACTTCTACCAATGCTCAAACCAATGGGGAGATCCTTTCTCCAGACTATATCCTCAGACTGCTTAGACTGCACTTATCCTGAGCTCCCATCTCCTCCACCCGTATACTCCTCTCTCTGCCCAGCCATATCACTCCTGTATCCACCTCGCTAGTGCTGGGAATGAAGGTGTAGGGATCCCAAGTGCTGGGATTACATTTGTATGAGTTCTGATTCTCTTTTAGACAGATTCTATCTTGTATAGCCCAGGGTGGCCTTGAACTAACAGAGATCTGTTTGTCTCTGTATTCCAAATGCTAGGATTAAAGGTGTGTATCAGCAATGCCTTGCCTCTATGGTTAACTAGTGTGGCTAACTTTCAACTCTGATCTTCAGGTGAGCATCATTTGTTAGATCATAAACAAAATATTACCATGATCTAGGTTTGTACACATGGTCCTAGATCCTATATTACTTTGCAGACTAACTAATTCAAGAGGCATAGCAACATATGCATTTTACTTTTCCACTTGAGTACTTGCTGCCATTAAGGCTATCTCATTTTTTTTCTTTGATTTTACAAAATGTGTAAAAAACTAGATGCCTTTTCAAGTACTAAAAAGTACTACAACAAAGCATTAAAATGTTACTACTCTTTTGTGTTTGAAATCAGACATATAAAACATATTATTAAAAAATCATCAAACACTTATTACTGAAACATTCATTTCACAGGTAAAATAAGCTGAACTGTAATGATTTTGGAACAAAAGCAGTAAAATTATAACATAAAACAAAACCAAGAACAAGGACCATGTCATATTAGGAAATGAATGTTTAATCTGGATAAGGAAGATTTGAGAGGAGACACGATTGCTATCTTCAGATATTTCCAGAGCTTTTATGGCAAATAGGGACTAGACTATTTTGAATTGACAAGAATAGCTAAGTTGAAACAACACAGATACAGATTTTAAGTTTCTAAATAAATGGAAGACATTTCCAAAATTTATGACCATTGAGAATACAACCATTTACATGAAAAATTTCAGTGAATTTCAGAGCTAATGGGAAGCAGCCCTCTTTTATTCCATGTAAGAGGATACCCTCTAGGGATTCACACATTCTGGTAATTGATGGAAGTGGTAAAAATATTTTGTCAATATATATGAGTATCTGAAACTGCAATGGTATTGTTAATGAACACAAAACTTCTGTGTCAACAAGATGTTAGCAAAACAAACCTTGCTTTCAGTCAGATTTGGAAGAAGGGAATGCTGTTTTTTCTTAAGACCATATTTTCCTAAAGCCTGCTTATTTGCGTGCCTGCCTTTGCTTAGGCTCATAATGCAAGTGCTATTAACAAGAGTTCATAGCTCACCTTAGCAACCATTTAATGTTTTATAAGGTAGTTATTGAAAATGGGTTAAGATTACATTATCCTGGGGTTGATGACAATAACGTGGCTAAATCTCAAACTTTGAGCAGAAACATGGAACTTCACAAGGGTGATGGGATATTTGTGGGGAAGCTGATAGGTCATGAGATCTTGGCTGCTGGTTACTTATGCAACTCCGATGATTTTCTGTTAGAGTAAAATCCTAACTGAAGTTTTCTCTTCTTCTTCTTCTTCTTCTTCTTCTTCTTCTTCTTCTTCTTCTTCTTCTTCTTCTTCTTCTTCTTCTTCTTCCTCTTCCTCTTCCTCTTCTCAGGCAAGATGTCTCTGTCATTTCTAGACTTTATATATTATCCTTCTGTGGTCTTTGATGGAGTTGAAGACAGATAGTTATGGTTATAGTTTTCCTTATTTAGACTTAAAAATAAGTTACATGTAGGACTTTAAACACACAAAGATAGGATAGATGATGGAATATTTTCTTCAAATCTTGCTAAATGTTAATGGACTAAATGTTGTTAACTATGATTCTTATTTGATAACTGTTGTATGATATATTTTGCCATGTTAAGGTTAAAACCCTTCTTTTTATTTAGACAGAAAAGAGGAGATGATGGGAGATGCCACTATGTATATATATTTCTCATATTTATTAATGAATACTTATTAATGAATAAAGCACTGTTGGCCAATTGGAAAGGAAGAAAGGAGGGACTAGGAGACAAGGAGGAAAGAGGAAGTAGATAGGAGGAGCCAAGATGGAGAGTCTGGAGAAGGCAGAATGCTGACCAGCTCCCCGGTAAGAGAAATACATAGATCAGCAGAAATGGGTTAATACTTAAGACAGAGCTAGCCGATAAGAAACTAGTACCAGGCCAATAGCATTGTGTCAAATACAGAGTCTCAGTGCATTATTTGGGGCTGGCGCAGGTGGCGGGTGGAAAAAACCATACTCCTTACATTCTTCTCCCCCTTCCTCTTCTTCTATTTACTATATTTCTTAGTTTTCTTATTTTACATGTCAATCCCAGTTCCCTCTCCCTCCCATGCCCCTAAAACCTCTTCTCATCCCAACCCAACCCCCAACTTCCAGGAAGTATTATCAAAGTCTGTCAAGTCATTTGGAGTAGGGTTTAGGCCCTCCCTCCTGCCTCTAGACTAAGGGAGTATCCCTCCATGGGGTATGTGCTCCCAAAGTCCTTTCATGCACAAAGGATACATCCTGGTTCTACTGTAAGAGGTCCCATAAACTGTCCAGGCGTTCTGAGATGCACATTCAGGGGGTCTGAGTCAGTCAAATGCTGGTTTCCCAACAATAAGTCTAGGGGTCCTGAATAAGCTCCCCTTGTTCAGGTCAGCTGTCTCTGTGGATTTCTGTAGCCTGGTCTTGACCCAATTTCTTATCACTCCTCCCTCTCTACAACTGGGTTCCAGGAGTGTGGCTCAGTGTTTAGCTGTGGGTATCTGTTTCTGTTTCCATCAGCTACTACATGAGGGCTCTATGGTGGCATATAAGTTAGTTATCAATCTCATTATCAGGGAAGGGCATTTAAGGTAGCCTCTCCACTATTGCTTAGATTGTTAGTTGGGGTCATCCTTGTAGGTCTCTGGACATTTCTCAAATCTATAATGGCTCCCTTTATTATAGTATCTCTCTCTCTCTCTCTCTCTCTCTCTCTCTCTCTCTCTCTTTTTTTTTTTGATCTCGTCTATTTATTCACCGACTAAATCTTCCTGGTCCCACATGTTCTCCTCTCCTCCCCTTCTCTTTATTATAGTTCCCTCTCCACTCACTGCCCCCCCTACTCCCAATATACTCAGGAAATTTTGTTCCTTTCCCCTTCTGTGAGGGACCTTGTATGAATCTCATAGGTTCCTGTTTGTATCCTAGTTTCTCTGGCGGTGTGAATTATAGGCTGGCGATCCTTTGGTCTATGTCTAAAATTCATATATGAGTGAGTAAATACCATGTTCCTCTTTATTGTGACTGGGTTACCTCATTCAGTATGTTTTCTTCTAGTTCCATCCATTTGCCTGCAAATTTCAAGATTCCATTTTTTTTTATGCTGAGTAGTATTCCATTGTGTAAATATACCATATCTTCTTTATCCATTCTTCAGTTGAGCGACATCTAGGTTGGTTCCAGGTTCTTGCTATTACAAATAATGCTGCAAACATAGTTGAACAGATGTCTTTGATACATGGATGTGGACCATTTGGGTATATGCCTAAGAGGGGGAATACCGGGTCCTGTGGTAGACAGATTCCCATTTTTCTGAAGAACCTCCATACTGATATCCAAAATGTCTGTACAAGTTTGCACTCCCACCAGCAGTGTAGAAGTGTTTCCCTTTCTCCACATCCTTTCCAGCATAAGCTCTGTCTGAAATTTTTGTTCAAATAACTATCTTTTACATTCTTGAATATATCTTCCTTGCTACTATTTATATCTTGGTAAATTGCTGCAATATTTTAATTTGGCATACATGAAAGCTTTCAAATTTATAAAACAACATTTCAGCACCTCTAGTAGGAATACAACTAAAATGCAAATTCACATGTGTTGACCTGCCTCTGACTCTATCTTTGTTCTATTTTCCACAGAAACCACCATGCAAAGGCTTTTACTAATGAAGGAACATAAATGCACAAGATGGGAAATAACAGCACAAACAGTATGAGAGTAAAGTGCACTGATCAACAAATGCTGTTTCAGTACTCGCTCTTGGCAACCACCTATATCTCTGGGCAGAAGCCTTAACTCTATAGTTCACCTTGATGAACATACCGAGATATTCAAGATGGGCAGCAACAGTACCAGCACTGCTGAGAGCAATTGCAATGCTACACATCTGACATTTCAGTACTCACTCTATGCAACTACCTATATCTTCATATTCATCCCTGGTCTCCTGGCTAACAGTGCAGCCTTGTGGGTTCTGTGCCGCTTCATCAGCAAGAAGAATAAGGCCATCATTTTCATGATCAACCTCTCAGTGGCAGATCTTGCTCATGTCCTATCCTTACCTCTCCGGATTTACTATTATATCAATCGTCACTGGCCATTCCAGAGGGCGCTTTGCCTGCTCTGCTTTTATCTGAAATATCTCAACATGTATGCCAGCATTTTTTTCTTGACATGCATCAGCCTTCAGAGGTGCCTCTTTCTCCTCAAGCCATTCAGTGCCAGAAACTGGAAACGTAGGTATGATGTGGCCATCAGTGCTACTATCTGGGTCATCGTGGGGACTGCCTGTTTGCCACTTCCCATACTGAGAAGTGCTGGTTTAGCCAACAACAGGGAATCCTGCTTTGCCGATTTAGGTCTTCATGACATTAGTATGGCTTCCTCCATTGGTATGGTAACCGCCGCAGAACTTGGAGGGTTCATATTGCCTGTTGTAATCATTACATATTGCACATGGAAAACAAGAAAATCTTTACAGGAATTTCAAGATCCACCTCAGAATATGAAAGAGAGGAAAAAGGCTTTGAGGATGGTCCTAATGTGTGCAGTGGTATTCATAGTGTGTTTCACCCCTTACCATCTGAACTTCCCATTCTTTATGATGGTGAAGCAACATGTCTTTTCAAACTGTTCATTTATTAAGAGCACTCTGTGTTTCCACATCATTTCCTTGTGTCTTGCAAATCTAAATTGTTGCCTTGATCCAGTTGTGTATTATTTTATGACTTCAGAATTTCGTGATCAATTTTCAGAACATGGCAGTTTGGTCATCCAGTCATGTTTGCGATGTAAGGACAGTACTTTGGAAATTCATCAGAGGAGAGAGAATCTTCAGACTATCTCTCTTGAATGTTTGGATATTCCAACACAATGTGATGAAATAATTATCTAGAATAATCTTTATACTCTGTCAGTTTAGCCATGCCATTTCAAAGTGATACTGAGTGTCATGAAGAAACATGGTCACTTCACTCAATATAATCTCTCTGCAGGAGTTCTCTATGGCAAGATCACCTGTGGACCTCCTGGGAAAATAACTTTCTTCACACAAAGTGATAATTAACAGAAAGAGTCTCACACCTGTTCCTCAGAAATGAGGCCAATATTCTCATCTTCACCTGAAAAAACAAGATATCCTAATAACTAGTGTACATGTAAATCCTATCCAAAAATTGAGATGTCTGCATCAGAATATGACCCTAATTTTATTTAGATAACATACACTACTTGTGTCAATTGTATTACAGAAGGATGACTTTTCATATTGATATAATTTATGAAAATTAGCAACGTTATAACTTAAAATAACTATAAGATTTTCTTTTTCTCACCTTGAAGAAAAAAAATCAATTCAGATGAGCCTCTCAAAATTACCATGGAAACCACAATGCAAACACCTTAAATAAGAACTGTACTGAGCATATTTAACAAACTTGAGGTTAAAGACTTAAAATGAAATCTTTTTTGCTTAAATGTCTGTGAGTTTGTGATGTGATGCACATTTTTGTTTACTGGCACTACTTGGAAAATATTCTTATCTATCTGTTTACCAAAATCAATGGTGTCATTCCTTGGCTAGGTTGATTGTTTCATATGTAACTTCAGATACAACTTCATTTGGTATATTTAAATCAACAGATCAAAGATGAATCACACAATATATGTGGTCTTCATTTTGCTAAGTTTTAGTTTTTACAAGCAAAATACACCAATGAACTGAATTGAATCCTATCACTAATACAGAACAAGCATTGTCATTTTTTTAAAATCCCTGTTGTTGCATCAATACTAATATAAATCGTTCCCACTGGAAATTTTGAAACTAACGATTTTCAAATATTGAATATCATTAAAATGAAATTTTATAAAGCAATGGTTAGTTTTATAAAATTCTATTTTTGTCTTGTCTATTTTTGAATGGTCTTTAATTTTTATTATATTTTTGGATTAGTATATAAGGAAATGCATTTCATTGTGATATTTTCATATGTATACATCACTGTACTTTCTTATTTACTCCTCACCCACAGCCTTTTCTTGATTGCACTCCAATTCTTGTTGGTGTCCTTTCTTCCTCCTGAATTCTTCTTTCTTCATTCTTGATACAAATGTTCTGTTACCTCTTGTATTTGGTTACCTCTCTTATCATACTTTGTTTGTGTCCCTTTATATCTCTCCCTTTCATGTCTACTTTGATGTTTCATGTGTGTGTAGATGTGTGTGTGTATAACGTATGATTCTTAAATATTTGTCTGGTTTATCAACATATTGATCTTCAGTTTCATTCATTTCCTCAAAATGTTGTAATTTAATTCTTTAAAGTTGAATAAAATTCCATTGCTTATAATACTACACTTTGTTGATCCATTCATTCATTGATAGATGTGCTTAGACTGGTTCTATATCTTTGCTATTGTGAACAGTTCAACAATAAACATGCATGTGGAGACATCCCTATGATAAGATTTCTTACAACCCATCAGCTATATACCCAGAAATAGAACAGTTAGTTGGATCTTGTTTTTAAATAGAATGAGCTAATATCTTTTTATTAGTGAGTTAAGGCCATTTATATTTAACATTGCTATTAAGAGAGGTCTGCTACTTCATTTAATTTAGTTGGATGTGTTAGAACTAGCGGTTTTCTGTGTTGGGCATGATAGATACCTTTCTAACCCCCCTTGGTCATTTATCATTTATTCCTCTCATAAAATTTATCATTTGTTATACTATTATTAAAAAAAGACTATCTTCCTTTTCTGTGTATAAGTGTGTGTGTGTGTGTGTTATGTATGCCTTTGAGTGTGTGCAGATGGAAGCCACAGTTTTAAATTTTGATGTCTTTCTTGATCTCTCTCCATTTTACATTTTGAGACAGGGTATCTAGTATTATACCTGAGTTAATCACTTGGTTAGACTAGGTACCCAATGAGGAGAATATACCTGCCTATGCCTTACCAGTGTTGGAGTTGCAGTTGCTTACTGTTCTGCCTGGCTTTTATATTGGGGCTGGGGACAGAAACTTGTGGTCTTGTGTTTATGCAGCGGGCACATAATGAATTTCTCCATCTCCACTAATCTGTGGTATTATTTTAAGCATTTTTTGAGTGCTGGCTTGGTGGCTATGAATTGATAGCTTGGCTGGATATAGAAATCTTTGTTGGCAGTTATTTACTCTGGGACCTTAAAAATATCATTCCGTGGTTTCATGGCTTTAAGACTTTTGGTGAGAGATGTGATATTATTTGGATGTGCTTACATTTTGGGTGGGTTGCATTTTCCCCTAACAGCCTTTAATATTATATTTTTACAGTTCATTTATAATGTCCTTTGATGTCTTTCTTCTCCAGTGATGCTTCTTTAGGCCTCTAAAGCCTATTGTGTTTTGATGTCTATAAAGATTATACGTATTTGATAATTTTTCTGTTGTAATTTTGTTGCCTTTAGTTTTTACTGTAGCTTCGTCTATCATATGAGTTCTTATGTTTGATATCTTGAGAGTAATCCACAGTTTTTGGATGTTGTGGTCATGCTCATTTATTTTTTTCCATCACTAATATTTTAATATAGTAATTCCTTGTCCTTGTCCTCTACCTGATAGTCTATAGTTTGCTCAGTTGCTTGTTTGTGGTACTTTATATTACATTTTAGGGTAACTGAAATCTTTATTTTTAACAATAATATTTGTCTTCAAATTATGAATTTTCTTGATGACGTTTTTTTTCAAATTTATGACTTTCTCATTCTACTTTTGAGTTTCATACATGTTAATGATTTTCCTCTGCATGTTACTTACTTTCCTGTCTAGGTTCTGGTTTAATTTTCCTGCCTTGTTCATATACAAGTTTATATTCTTTCAGGTTGTTTGTCTTTTTCGCTAATAACTTTGAGATCTAATTTCATATTTAAACATGTCAATATTTTTTATTTTGTTAAGTGAGGAGTTCTGAGCATTTGGATAAGGCATGTTGCAGTTTTCATTGTTATTGTTTGTTTCTGAATTGCAATTTGTACAAAATTTGATGTGGATATTTTTTATTTTATTTGGAAATCTTAGTAACCTGTTCTTGAAGCCTCTATCAGCAGTAGTACTCAATGAGGCTTAAGAAAACTGTTGTAGCAGCACCAAGCCTAAATATACAAGATGTAGAAATGTATTTTCAAAATTAATTAAAACATACTAACACATCACCAATACCATAAGTCAATAAATAGCAAAACCAATACAGAGTAAGCTTTCAAATTAAAATGTAGAGTAATTGTGAACCTGTTTCCTTCTACTAGGTTGTCATATCCAGCCTTGCTATGATAGTATGTGCCTAGTCTTATTGTATCTTTTGCTGTGGTGATATTCTTGGAACTATTTTTTTAAGGAAATCAGAGGATTGATGGATCTGGGGAAGACAAGAGACATGGGTGAGACCTTGGAGATGAGGAGGGGAGAAACATGGGTTAGCATGTAATGAACGATAGAAGAATAAAAAAAGGAAAATTTGTTTTCAGGATCACTCAGGGTCATTAATATAAACATCAGTTACTGTATTGGGATTCATTGCTTCTCTCATGTCTATTGAATCTGTTTGTTTCTGAAATATATTTACTTATGAATTGCAGTTCTTTTTATTATATTTGTAATGCTAATATCTCTAACTTTTCAAACTAAAATCTCTCACAATTATCTTCTGTTAATAAGCCCATTCTTATTCCTGGCTTAATTACTTATAGTCTCCTATGGCTTTGAAAGCACAGTTGTCAATTTATCTAGAGTAATTTTTTAAAGACAAGAAAAATACTGCTTTCTCCTATGGAAAAAAAGTAGATGAGATTCACTTTATGGACTTTATGTTATTTATTTTTGCAATTCAAGATTATTTTGTTTCCTTCCTTGCTCTATCAGCTGTGTTTAGATAGGTAAAGTTGCTACACATATGAGGTCTGAATACTAAAAGTATGATTAGCTGTTTTGACAGCTAGAATATCTTTGAATATAAATATTTCTACATACATACATATATATGTATATATGTATATAATTGACTTTCCAACATCATTACTCGCTTCAAGAACTAATATATTTAGAAGTACTTTATTTGTTGTAGTGAGGTTGTCTACCTTTTATTTATTCTTTAAATTTAAAATTGAAACAAGCTTGCTTTACATGTCAATCACAGTTCTTTCACCCCCCTCCCCTGTTCTTATCACCCCTATCCCTTCCCCCTTTCTGCTCCCCAGGGAGGGTGAGTCTGTCACATCATTTGGAGCAGGGCCCACGCCCTCCTCCATGTGTCTAGGCTGAGAGAGTATCCCTCTATATTGAATGGGCTTCCAAAGTCCATTCATATACTAGGAATAAATACTGCCCCATTACCAGAGGCCCCATAGACTGCCCAGTCCTCCTAAATAACACCCATTTTCAGGGGTTCTGGATCAGTCTTATGCTGGTTTCCCAGTTATCAATATGGGGTTCTTGTATTCCCTCTTGCTCAGGTCAGCTGTTTCTGTGGGTTTCTCCAGCTTTGATTATTATTCCTCCCTTTCTGCAACTTGATTCCAGGTGTTCAGCTCAGTGTTTAGCTGTGGGTGTCTGCTTCTGCTTCCATCAGCTACTAGATGAAAGTTATAGGTTGTACTTAAGAAGCATGGGCTCGGCTTCTATCCTCTTTAGGAATACTTTGTAGAAACTCCCCTATGCATTTGAAGTTTTATTTCAGAAACATTAAACCAATTTTGGAAACTGACTCATTGCTACTATGGATAATGAACTTTATTCAACAAGTTTGAAGAAGTGTGTGCATGTATACACAAACACACACACACACACACACACACAGAGAGAGAGAGAGAGAGAGAGGAGAAGTAGAGAGAGAAACAGAGACAGAGAGAAAAATATGAAATAATCTAACTTTTGAACATTTTTGAAGTTATTAGAACTCTCCAGAAACCTACTGTCACTCTTAGATCTAGATGAAGTCCTATAAACAGATACATTGATCCAGTATTTCTGGAGCTGTACAACTATTCAATTCTGTCTTTTAATTTCTTGTTCCAAAACACAGGTGAGAAAGAATTTTTTAATTGATTAGAACTGTGGATGTAACTTATTGACAGTACTTTGAACTGGATCCTAGTACCATTTGCACCCATTCTAAACTGTGTAATCTATAGTAAGATACTTTATCAACCTGAAGCTCTATTCTCAGCTGTAATGTGGTGATAATATTTGATCTTTGAACTTCATGAAACTCCAATAAGAAATATAGATAAGGAAGCTTTTTATACTATAATGGCTGTTCAAACATAAGGGCGCAGGGAAGGCATAGTATTAACAAATTCAAAAGGTTAGTGAGATGGTCAAGCATATAATACTGTTTGTTTCCAAGCCTGACCATCTGAGTTGGGTTTCTGAAACCTACACTACATCCGAAGGAAATAACAATGACAGTTGTTTTATGACCTTCCACGTCTTTTAAAAGGAATGTAATCAATGTAAGGAAATAGAATACACTCCTAAACCAGTCTTATTTCCCAATATTCTCTCCAACCCTGCCCCATTTGATCTCTCCTGTTCCTATCCCACCTGCCCCAGTCAAGCTTGAAATTGATTCTAATTGCTATTCATGGGAAAATTATTCTTCTGTCAGATGTGGGGTTGGTGAAGATCTTTTCCCACCCTGTTGGATGCCATTTTGTCCTATTGATGGTGTCCTTTGCCGTACAGAAGCTTTTCAGTTTCATTAGGTCCCATTTACTAATTGTTGATCTTAGTATCTGTGAGATTGGTGTTCTCTTCAGGAAGTGGTCTTCTGTTTCAATGCATTCAGGCTATTTTCTATTTTCCACTTTTTCTTCTATTAGGTTCAGTGTGTGTGGATTTATGTTGAAGTATTTGATCCATTTGGACTTGACTTTTGTACATTCTGACAGATATGGATTTATTTACATTCTTCTACATGCCAACATCTAGTTAGACCAGCACCATTTGTTGAAGATGCTTTTTTTCTCCATTATATACTTCTGATTTCTTTATCAAAATTCAGATGTGCAGATTTACAACTGGGTTTTTGATTCAATATTTTAGTTCTGTAGTACAGCTTAAAATCAGGGACAGTGATACCCCTAGAAGTTCTTTTATTGTACAAGATTGTTTTAGCTAACCTTGTTGTTCTTCCATATGAAGCTGAGTATTGTCCTTTCTAGGTCTGTAAAGAATGGTGTTGATAGTTGGAGCCATTATGGGGTTAGTAAGAAATCTAGTACTGCAGAATATCCCAGGAATCCACAAGGATGGCTCCAACTAAGAATCTATGCAATAATGTAGAGGGTACCTTCCCCTATAATCAG